GTGTGAGTGTGTGTGTGTGTGTGTGTGTGTGTGTGTGTGTGTGTGTGTGTGTGTGTGTGTGTGTGTGTGTGTGAGTGTGTGAGAGAGGGGGGTGTTTCATGGTGCAAGAAGCTGGTGAGGCAAGGCTTGTGGGCTGTGAGGACAAAGGGAAGGGCCGGGCTCGAATGAGGAAGGTGCCTACACTTGGTCACCTCCATCCCTTCCTTCTTAGGACGCCCAGCTGCCGGAGTGGGGGCGTCAGTTGCAGGTTTGTGGGTTCTTTTATCCTTGTAACAGACTTAGTCAGTTGGGAATCCCTGGGCTGGAAACTGAGGCTCCCTAAGTAAAGCTACACGGAGAGCAGGTCTGGAACCGACTGCCTAGGGAGAAAAGAGACCCCAAAAGGAACCGGAGTCGCTCACCTTGCCACCTTCCTTCCCTGCTGTAGAATTTTCTGTTCTCATTTTTCTTTTCTTAGGAAAAAAAAATTGTTTTTTACATTTATTTATTTATTTTGGTTAAGGTGGGTGTGTGTGTGAAGAATGTGTGATTCAGACCTGACAACTATGGGAGTCTGGTCTCTCCTCCCGTCCACCGTGAGGGTTCTGGGGATCGAACTCGGGTCGTCAGGGTTGGCAGCAATCACCTTTACCACTGAGCCCTATTGCCAGCCCTCCACCTCCCAAGAACAGGGGTCACAGGTGTGTCCCTCCTGTGGGGGTTTTCCATTTCAGCTCTGTTGGGACAGTTGACACAGGCCTCACCACTCACGCACTCGGGGCTGGCCTCGAGCGTACCGAGATCCTCCTGCCTCTGCCTCCCAGGTACAAGATCACAGGCGTGCTTAGTGCCGAATAGTTACCCTTCTTTTATTTCCTCTGCTGAAACATTGGGTCCCCAGGGATCCCTTTGGCTCCCCTCTGCATCCCAAGAACCTAGAATGGTGCTTGGCGCTTACATTGCAAAGAGCAGACTCAACAGTAGCCGCTGACATCTGAAGGTCAGCAGCCATGCTGTTCCAAGCTTTGGGCTCCAGTTTCCACCCACAGCACTCAGCAAAGTGATGAGCTAGATGGAGGCCTAGCCTTTGATGATGAAATGCGGGCACAGAGAGGTGAAGACACCAGGCAAAGATCACACAGCAAGGGAGAGAGAGAGCGCACCAGCGCGAGTCTCCCATTTGAACTGTGTGCTCCCCAACTCCTAACCTCTTTGAAAGATGAGAAAACTGTGGGGTTGATATTTTTAAAAATATCAACTGAGTATGAAGGAGTGTGGCTCAAAGGGGTCTTGCTTTTTTAAAAAAAAAAACAGAAAAGAGGTGGCAGCTGACATGATGGCAGTTTCTCAGGTGACAAGGGCCTGAAGGGGAAAAACACTTCCAAGTTTTCATGCTTTTCACCCAATTCACTGTTTCTTAACCTTTTCTGTTGCAATGATTTTTTTTTAAACCTTGTTTTGATTTCGGGTGTGTAGTGGTCAGAAGACAACTTGCCGGAGTCCATTGCACCAGTGTGCGATTCTGGAACCGAACTCAAGTCCTGGGGCTTGAGGGCAAACACCTTCACTGGCTGAGCCCTTGCACAGCCAGCCCGCGTTTGGTGTTTATTTTACTTGAGACAGGGTCGCACTGTGTGGGACAGCCTGGCCTCAAACTTGAGTTTCTTCCTCGCCTCTGCCTCCTTTGTGCTGGGATGACAAGGGGCTCCGGCCCCGTCCGGCTGAGGCTAGTTCTGGTGTGTGTTTTATGGTGGGCTTGGGTTACGAGGGTGTCTCAAAAGACTGCCAAGCGGGAAGGGTTGCTGAGGTATGCGGATGAGGTGGAGGGCTTCTGGGAAGAGACGACACCTAAGCCGAGCCCAGATGTGGCCCCCGGGGAGAGGAGATGGGTGTGGTGTAAAATGGAAGGTTACAGCAGAAACCACAGAGCCACAGTGGACAGGGCTTTGGAGGATGGGGACTCTCTGAGTGAGATTGGGTCTCACCCTGGTCCTTCTGTAAGGTCATCCTTAAGGCCTGGTTCAGAGTGGGACCCAGCCCAGGGCCACCCAGCCAACGGTGTTCTTTCTGGACCAGAGGACCTAAGCCGTGGCAGACAGGGCAGGACCACCTGGGAGGCCAAAGTGCACCTGGGTGGGGCGGTGGCACCCTGGGAATCTGGCCAGAGTCTGCCCTGGGTGTGGGCGGCAGGTGTGGGTGAGGCTTTAACCCTGCCCTGCCAAGGGTGCCTGAGCCAGAAACAGTCCCTGAAGCTATGCTTGTTTCACATGATGCTTGATATGATGTGGGTAGGACCCACAGCTCTGTGGTTAAGACTGGGACCCAGGAACCATCTGGTTTCAGAGCCGCCCTCTGCCACTGAGGAGCTGTGTGACTGTGGGAGGGATACTCGGCCTCTCTGGGCCCTCTCCCCAAAAACCCTGAAGGGT